ACCACGACCATGACCACGACCACTACTACTACTCCTCCTCCTCCTCCTCCTACTAATCCCACTTCTACAAATGCAACCCCTGCCGCTACTACTGCTACCAGTGCTGCTACTGCTGCTGCTGCCGCCGCCGCCACCGCCACCACCACCACCACCACCGCCACCACTTCTACTGCTACTACTTTTGAGCTTGCCTCTGTTTCAAGAATACCAGGAGCCCTTGTCAGATTTGACAAGCTGCTCTTTGACGTCCACCGTCGTCATTACCTTCAAGCAGTTCCTGCGACGAAGCTTTGCTTAGCGACTCCTGGGCTGCCTGGCCTAAGCAGATTGCTTTAAACTGCCAGAAGATGCTACAACTCACCGCGCACGCATTCACAGGTGAAGAGCAAGATCTGCTTGGGCTCCACGGGTGGAGGAGTCTCAAAAGTCTCTGCCTGCCGAGCCGAGAATCAGCTTTTGAGGTAGATGGCCGCGAAATTAAATATTTACGTCGCTAAGGCCTCAAAGCACTCAAAGCACATAACCCCCAAACCCTGAAGCCTTCGTCTAGAGCCCTTTACCCAGGGCTCCTGAGCACGGGCAGGCCCAAAGCCGTCATGTGCGGCGCCAGGGCTCCGATGACAGCGTCTGCACAGGCCAGTTGGTTCCTCATGAATGGCTTTAGGAGACTCGGCTCGCTGCACTTGGCAACTCCGGGCGTGTGGGGCTAGTGCAGGGGTTCTGCGTCGATGAGCCTTGTTGTGGCGCAGCCTTCATCTGGGTTCTTGTTGGGGGATTTAAATTTAAGCTATCGCAACAAGGAAACTATACTATCCTAACAAGAACCCAGTCATTAGCTTGCTGTCAAGATAGGAACATGAAGCAGTGAGAGGACGCCCAAGTCCGGCAGCGACAGCACACCATACAGCATTTGCTGTGCCCGCGCATAAATTTCAGCAACAAGCCTTGCTGGCAATTCTTACAAATATGAGGTTGCTACTCGCTAGCGAACTCGTAACACTAGAACAAGCCTGCCAGGGCTTCAGGAACCCATAAATAATGGCCTGTCCCACAAACTGCGGGAAAGCATCGTTTCTGGCGGCGCACGTTCGCCGGCAGCGAGTATCTGCAGTGAACCCGGCTGAGGCACTGTCTCCAACTTTGGATCATAGGAACCACATTTTGTTGGACACGTCTGCCAACCGTTTTTGCCAACAGGCTCATCTATCAAGCGTGTAGTGATAACGGGAAAGCATCACATGCTCACGAGAGCATGGCACTGGAAAGTAGTGTCAGTTGCACTGGCTACCGTGCTTGACAAGTCATCGGGTGACGGACGCAGGAAGCTCCTTGTCCCTCCAGAAACAGTCCATACCCGAATTCTTAAGGAGGCATCAGACCTGTGGACGTGTCAGAACCAATGTAACCTGTCATAACTTGTCAGACACCTTGGAGAGACCTGTGATAAACCTGTGGGAGCCTCCGTGAGATAAATGGGAGAGAAGCCCATGCCAAACCTGTGAGACAGCTGTGACAAGCCCCCACGAAAAATATGAAAGGCAAGGCTTGAGAAAACCTTGGTCGATACATGAGATGACAAACCACACAAAGGAATCCCACCCACCCCTTCCAAGTACGGATCGAAGAAACGTAGTGATTACAAAGGCCTCAAGACTTCGGCAACGAATCCGAGAACCTCCCAGACGGACTGGGGAGAGTGGTGCCTCCACCACACGCACCAGGCTGCCCGTACTCAGCCGGTGAGCGTTGCGGGACCTGCTCTCACATCTTGTTTTTCCGATTTGACCAGTGTGATCCTGCAGGTGAGTGCCTCAAGCGACCGCTGCTTGCTGTTGATAGAAGAGTTTTGCTCCAGACTGCTAAGTTTCGTGGCCATCCGGTCGCTGTTGGAGTTGAAGTTGTTGCCATTTTCAGGGCCATGGGTCAAAGAGGGAACTAAGGATTTGGGAACATCTAATTCCTTGGTGGGGTAGAACTTCTGCACACCTTCCGGTGACCCCAGGAAAGCCCTGTAGCCTCATGCAGTTCTCTAGCTAACTTTGCAAAATCCCGTGGCGATGAGAGCACTACCCACATCTCCGACCGAAGACCACCAGCCAACATCGGTAAAGCAATGGCAGAGCCGGGTGGCAGAGAGTAGCAAGCCTTGGCATACCTGCAACTGCGAATCATGCAAGTTTGCATCTGTAGACTGTCGAGGAACATGACAGACAGCGCATGGCTTTACGTTCGGGCGTGTCTTTCTGCGTTAACGATTCTCTCTTTCGGACATGGAGAGAATGAGTAAAACTCATGCAAAAAGATGTGCCGCCCGGACAACTTGACATACACTGTGTGTAACACTGTCTGTAGTGCCATCTATCTTGCTGCCTACTTACCTATCTACCACAGCGCCGTTTAAGACAGTGCTGGTTTAAGAAACTGAGCCGCGCGGGCAGCTGTACTACAAACAAGAACATACAGCAAATGCGTTAATCGAAAATGAGAATCCAGGGTACCCTGACCTCGGAGTGCCAATTTCTTATTTTGCTCTTCTCGATCGCTTGTTTTCTTCGCTCAACACCCCACACATGCATGCGTGCGTGCATGCATATATGCATGACCATGCATGCATGAAGACATTTGGGGTGGTGATATGCTTCACCATAGCCATCATCTTTCTTAGGGGGCGGTGTGTGTGTGCTACTCTTGCATATACACCCGAAAGCAAGGTGTCTCATAGGCGAGGGACGGGCGTATGCCTCCACGTATCCTTCTCTGTGCTCTCGGATCTCGTGTAGTACCTATGTTAAACATAAACAGTCATGTGTCTGCTTATATATATATATATGTATACATGGGTGGGTGTGTATGTGTTTTCGCACATGCTGGTACAGTCCACAGGCGCAAGTGAGAGGGTGATCTAAACGCGAGGAATCGCATCGGTTCTTCCGTCTCTGCCAGGCCACCTCAGGTCTTCGAAGGAATGCCTCCCCAGCTCCTCCACGGCCTGCAACCAGTGTGGGGCGAGGTTCTGTGGGGTGTGCTGGGTGTGACACAAGCATGCGATCCACTCAGGAACTCGTACATACATACATACATACATACATACATAATCATACTATATACACACATACATACAGACAAACATAGCGCTGCATTGCAGTGCATTGCATGCATACATAATCGCATAGATAAATGCATACATACGTACATACATACATACGTACATACATACATACATACATACTTGCATGCATAATCATACGTATATACACACATACATACAGACAGACATAGCGCTGCATTGCAGCGCATTGCATGCATACATACTCGCATAGATAAATGCCTACATACGTACATACATACATACATACATACATACATACATGCGCACATTCATACATTACATACATGCATGCATACATACATATACATACATACATACATACATACATACGTACGTACGTACATACATACGTACATGCATACATGCCTACATAAATGCATGCATGCATGCACACATACATAATTACATACCTACATACATGCATCCATATGTACATCCATGCATGCATGCACGGATGCATGCATGCATAAGTTATTTAGACATTACATTTCATTGCATTACTGCATACATACATACATACATACATACATACATTTTTAGCACTCCCACTCGACGCATCAGGCGAGGTGTACATACATACATACATACATACATACATACATACATACACACATACATACATACATACATACCTACCTCTGACAATACGTACATGCATGCATACGTGCTCGTTCCACAAAACCAATCCGCATATAACAGCCAAGAGATATCGGTTCGATAAGTCTCGAGGGTGAACAAGAGTTCCAAAGCTCGGAGTCCCCCCAGCCAAATCAAGAAAATAAAACAAGAAAAACACAATATATATATATATATGCATGCATATATTATCACTAGACTCATTAGACATACATACATACATACATACATACTAACATAACATAACATAACATAACATAACATAACATAACATAACATAACATACATACATACATACATACATACATACATACATACATACACACACATGCGTACATGTGTACATGCGTACATACATGCATGCATACCTGGATAGATACTGACATACATACATACATACATACATACATACATACATAGATAGGCATGCACGGTTGCAATTCACGCGCGCGGCGAGTAGGTACCCACTCAGATTTGCACAACTTCAAGCCCTCAAATCCCGTGCGCACTTCTCACCTAGGCATTGACAGGGCTCATAAACCCACATATCATATAATCCCCTTGTATGCCCTACAAGCCCAAGAGTTCTGATGTCCGAACTGCTGAGCCAAGATCTACATCACTCGTACTGTCTAGCTTGCCACCTTGCCTGTGTCGAGTTTATGGAACGGGGCTTGGCATGCCTGCTCTTTCAATGCATGAGATGTCCCCACATTCAGATTCCTTGTTTCACGCAGCCCAAAGGCCACAGTCAATTTCAGTCGACAAGTTGGAAACGACGTGCAGGAAGAGTCGAAAAACAGGAGTCTCTGCTTTGCGCCTGCTGCGCGGGGACCGTCACTGGCTCGGGACTCGGGCCGCTTCTTTGAGCCGCTTCCTCCTGAAAGCTTCGGCGTAAACGGCTTCAACTTAATTTCAATTTCTCATAATTTGTCTTGGTAGGCAGGTCACTTTGGATTTCTGCGTATACATTGACAAGCCCTGCAAGTTCCATTTTTGGATATTTATATCTGCGACTCCCAGAACGGCGAAGTAAAGCCCTCTCGGACCCGCACTGGCTTGAGGTTTTCACTGTTTGCGGCTGGAGCTGCGTGCTGTGTACAGGAACATGAACTCGAGGACAAAGACCCAAGGGTTCCATGGAAATGTAGTGATGTCACAAGGCAGTCCTATTTGTACCAATCGCTACTGTAATTACCGTGGCCAACTTACGCTCTCGCAACTCGGACTCTGCCAGACGAGGTCTCTTGGTGGGTCTGTTCGCATTGTTCACACCGTGGCCAACGTGGGGTCCCAGACTCAGGTGTCCTGATCCCGTGATTCCAAACCTGCAACCCTGCACCACGCAGAGTTGCCGGGGTCCACTAGGTTAGCAGCCTGCTCGGAAATAAGCTGCATTGGCAATTCAGTCTCGCGCACACAATCTTCCGAGGTGCATGGATCATTACGAAGTTCCCAAAAAGAAACACACAGCAGGGGCGTGGTTCACGTTGAACCACCAGACAACACTTCGTGCAAGAGACCTGTAGAGACCTATACACATTCACTGAAAAGGCTTAGCGCGGATATTGTGTGACAGGCGATCGTGCATGGATTTGACGTTTGAACGAAACAATGGCATAATTTCCAGCACATGCCCAGGTCCTTCTGCTTCCACAACTGCTGCATCTTTGCCTTTCGCTCGTGGCGCCGAGCCTGTGCAAAGACATCGGTGCGACAAACAGGACACGACATGATTTATGTGAAAAAATGGCGGGGACAGGCGGGTGCTAGTCCAAAGTACTATGATGGGACTGCCCCAGCGCCTCTGCTATGCGCAGCTCACTGTTCCCATCGTCTGCAGGGCCAGAAAACTTCTCACCAGCCAGCCCCCGCTCAAGGAGCGTGATTCGCTCGCGGCGTGTAAGTTCGCGGTGGTCCGCATCTGCGATGTCCGCCGGTGAAGACGGTGGTGGATTTACCATGCTTAAATCGAACTTCCTTAGCCAGTCTTCCCGGGCGGCTTTCAACGAATCTGCAGCCTCAGCAGCCTGCAGCGCCACCTTCCGAGCTTCAGCCACTTCCTGATCCGCTTCGGTTTCGGCGGTTTCAGGTTCTGGACTCTTCTCTGGCTCAACTGCCGCTGAGGGCGCCAAAGGCACTGCATCTTCTTGTGTCGCCTCAACCGGGGCTGGCTTCTCGTCCAAGTCAGCAGATGCAATCGGGGGCGGTGGCGAGGGCGAGACAGCAGGAAAGAAGGACTGCCAGACCGCATCGAGCTCGGCGCTCAACTCTGGGTCCTGGTCGCTTTCCTGGGCCTCCTCAACTGGTCCGACGTCCTTGGCCGTCTCCTTGACTTCCTTGATCTCTGGCTCAAGGCTCTCGTTTGGATCCAGGAAGCTGTGCTGGTACTCATACTCCACATCCACGGAGGCCTCTCTTTCATGGTGAGCCTCGACCTCGGCCTCGACCTGAGGTTCGAGACCAGCCTCTGGGCAGCCGAACTCTGCAGGCGCCGCCGCGTTTTCGACAGGCCGCACATCGTCCGCACGTGTTTCTGCAGACGGTGGCCTAAACTTCGGGTGCAGCATGCGCTCCAAGGCGCTTGCAGCTTCATGCGCCTCTGCTTCCACGTGGGACCATCGGTCATCGACAGCTCGAGCAGTGTATGCAGAGTTGTGATCGCTCCGTTCCTCGTGGGGCTCTGGGCCCATTGCAGACGTCACAGGAGTCTCCACCCGGAGCATCTGGGGAATTTGCCGGTAGACGTCCTCTGCTTTGCTTGGGTCTGCTCTCTTGACAGACCTTGGTTCAGGCTTTCACGACGGAGTCTACCCAGCCTGCCTCGCTGTCGCCTTTTCTTACTTTCTCTCCTCTCGTTCACCTCTCTTCCTCTAGGCCCACGCAAGCTTCATTCTTCCATTGGGCTGATAGGCTGCTCAGAGTGGTCAGACAGTCTTCCGCTCAGCCACTAAAACCTCGCAGAAGAAAGGGATATATATATATATAATATCATTATATTATATTAGACTATACTATACTATATTCTATTATATCTAAAAGGAGCGAGGGGCTGTCGGGCCTCCATGGCTCCTTTTGCTTTCCGGGCGGAACGCCCGGAAGCAAAGACCCCGGCATCCCCCCTCCCCCCCGCGCGCGCGCACCCTCATACACTGTCTCACTCATTTCGTTGTTTCTTTTTGTGGGCTCTCTCTCTGTCTCTCTCTCCATGTTGTGTTTGTCCCGTGCAAAGCTGACAGTAGTTTCAAAAATCACGGTATCGGAGTATAGGAGCAGATGTCAATGGGTAGTGAAATGAACCAAGCCATGCCCAAATCCTCCAGGCGGCTGCAAGAGGAGGTCGAGCTTCTGATTCGCATCCTTCAGAGCCTCCACATCCGAAAGCGCCTCTTTCAACCGCTGATCCAGGTCAGTGCTCATGCCATGGCCAGGGGCGCGGCCCGGAAAGCGGACCTAACTCTTGAGCTGGAGCCATCCTAGTTGAACCATCGGGGCGCGGCCCTTCCCCCATGAAGAAATCGACATGAACACATGACTCTGGATTTCTGCGTTCCGGCTCTTGGACAAGGTCCCACAACTTCTCGCATCTCGCTGCACAACCGCTACTTCTCCGACAGTCTGAACTGCAGCCGTGCTGGCTGATTCCAAGCAGCAGCCACGAGCATCAGTGCCGGACCATCCTCAAGGTATCAAACACAAACAAAGACAGGGGTTATTACTGTGTACCCCAGAAGAGTATCTACCGATTCCCTCTCGATCTTCACAAACTGCCGCTGCTCTCTAAGCGGCAGTGCATAGAAGCGAGCCGCGTGTCCAGAAGTTGCAGACAGAGGCAACGCCAACACGCGGATTCCTGCCTGAAAAGCCCTGACACTTTTTTTAAATTCTTTTTTCGGAGGTTCTGGGTCCCTGGGTCCTGGCATGAGCTCGAGAACACCGCGGCACAAGGAACGCAGGCCCTGCACGAACCTTCCCACCGCAGGGCGCCTCTGCCTTGGCCCGACGTGAAGACATTGGCTGCAGGACCAAGAGTTGGCCATGCTGGCAAACCTGCCAGGCTGGCCAAAGCGAAATGAGAGCAACCCCTTGTGATCGTGGACCTGATAAAAGCGATGCCCACTTCACTCTCTTCACACTTTTGAGGTGCGGGACAGCTCCTGGCCTTCGATGCAACAAGAGCTTGAACGACATGACAAGATGACTTTTTATGCCTCTTTGTTCGAGACCTGGGACGAAAGATGCTTATGGATGCGCGTGGTCCGATATGAAATGTGCTGAGTTCTGTCACGGTGGCTGTGAGGCTGTGCGTGCGTTGACAGTCGGCTCTTCTTCAAGTTGGGACTGCAGGATGCAAGTAGACAATGGACTGGCGCAGCGGGATTTGTTGAGAAATTCGGTGCTTGCTGTCTGACGTCAGAAGATGTCGTCCTAGCAGCAGCTCGCACTGGACATGGCAAATGCAGGGAGCAAGGCTGAAAGATGCTGAAAGTGTAGCTGTTGCCAACGGCACAGCCAACATCTGCAAAACAACATTGAAGCATCCCGTCGCTGCAGTTTACCAGTGTACCATGCGTGTGAATACCAATGTATGTTTATATACATATACTATACATATACATATACATATACATATACATATGTATGTATGTATGTATGTATGTCGGTATGTCTGTATGTATATACATGTGTATATATATATACGTACATACAAATATATATGTCTTATATATGTATACATGTATATGTATACACATGCGGTATGCAACTGTATTTATATACTTATCTCTCTGTGTGTGTTTGTGGCTATGTTTCTGATTCTCTCTTTGTGTGTCTGTCTGCGTGTCTACACAAGTATCTACCAGTACCATGCATACGTAGACAGGTAAGGTGTGTGTGCAGCATGATATATCTTATATACGGCTCATACAACAAAGGATCAAAAGTATAACTCGATCTAGGTTACAATAGAGGCCTGCCAATACGGGGCTCGCACAGCGAGCGGCGAAGCATCGCCCTCTTGGGCTGCGCGCCCTTGGCTGATTCCCTTCAAGAATTCGGATGACAAAGGTGACGTCGAGAGCCGAGGGATTCGGGCTTCGAGATTCCGGCGCTGCTTCGGTCTGACTGTTAACGCAAGTGAATTCTCGATGCCGAACTTCAACAAAAGAAGAGGCAACTCGGTCGTTGGCACTCTTAACTTCCGCCCACAACAGATCAACCTCTGTCGAGAAACGACGCTGCCACAAACCCGAACACACATCTGATGGTCAGCACAAGGGTCCGATCTCCAAGCGCTGCTTTGGCCGACACGTCCAATGAAAAAGGGGAGGAAGCCATGGCACGACCTTGACATGGAGTTCGGAAGGTGGCTGCTATGTCGGGACATGATCTTCAACAACTTCGGCTTCCCGCATCTTTCCACTAGTCATGCTTTCTCCACATACTGCAGTCACTTGCACAGGTAAGCTGCTGCCGCGGCTTTCAACGCCTGCAGCACCGCCATAAAATCGCGAGCGTCCCGTGCGATAAGAATCGCAGACAAAACGCCAAACAACGCGTTGGACTTGCGAGCAAGTCGCGAAGTAGGTTGAAACTTTAGTGGAGGTTTCAGCTCAGCTTCCAACGACTCTCCAGTTTCGACTCTCACACTCGCACAAGGCCGGCAACGCTCCGCATAGTTCTGCCTCCGCTGCATTCTACAAAGCGAGAGATGGGGAGTCTTGGAATAAATATCGCATATTCGAAGCACTTGCTTCAAAGTTCTTCAAACGGTATCGCAAACGGATTTGCTCGCCGCGGCAGTGCCTTTCCGTCAACCTCATTATCCGCACTAGTTGTTCGAACTCATCGAAGCAGGGGTTTTAGTGCGGCCAGGCGGCAGCACAGACAAAAGCAAGACTTTCTGTGTTTTTGCTACACTACACCCGGACTCCTCGAAGCAGAAAGCAACGAATGCGACGCACAACAAGAATAGTGCTCAAACCCCTCCCACACGTATTTTGGTCACGAGCCGCGCTAGAGAGCGAAGTTGATCCTTGTCGCGAGAAAACAGGAAAACGGTGTAGCCGGCTCAAGGAAGAAGTGAGGAAGGCAGAAGTGCCAATGCCCGTACTTGGCGCATCTTATGAGCACTGAGCTTAATAAGCTCAGAAAGTTGGGCCAACCCATCACAAATGTAGATGTGTGCAGTTCTCGTGGAAGTCCAGCGGCCCTTGAGGCAAATTGCTGGAAGATGATTGGTTTATCGGAACTCATGAATGGCTCCGCCACGCCGCAGGAAATACCAACGTGAGCCCTAATAGCCGCCGCCAAACCATCGCAGCATGCAGGTGATGCAGCCAACTCCCGCATGCTGAATGACAACCCCAATTCCACTTCTGGTGTTGTGCATCAGCTTGTCATGGAAGCCAAAGACCCTAGATGCTTCGTGAAGAGCCAGTAGGCCCAATTGATTCAAGTCCTCAGCCCAAGGTCCACGCTGGCTGGCGCCCGAGCAGCGGTGCATGCCCCAACCGCCGACCGGCCGTCAAGGCTGGCAAGCGCCTGGATCTTAAGCGGCAACAGGCAGACTTTGCAAAGCTTGCATCCGGCTTGACCTGTGGGCATCACGAATTGAGGCTCCGGCCTCCTCAAGCAGGGTACATCACCTTGGCAGGTTTCCAGAAGGCTGTGGGGCCTTCATGACTTCAATGTAGATGACGCGGGACATACAGGAATCTACATAAGCTGGATGTGGTTGGCGAAGGGTCACACTACATCTCCATCGGAACCGTTGACGGCAAAGACTAACAACTCGGTTTTGAGGTGTCGGTTTTTGAAGATATCCGAGACATCATACAGGATTGTCCTTCAAGTGGCAATGCGTATGTATGCCGCTGTTATAGCTCAGGCAAGATACTCTGATACTGGGACATGCTTCATTTGACCAGGATTGGAGATGCTGTTCATGCCACAGCTTTGTAAAGAAAGGCACCCCCGGCTGTCCTGTTTCCCCAAACTCCAAACGAAATCTCGAACCAGTTCCCGTGACCAGGAAAGCCAGCAGGGTTGTGCATCGAGACCCTAGGTCCGCACATGTCCAGTTCCCAACTGGCTTGTGATCTTGGGAAGGGCCTAGGAGAATTGTGCATGAAGGCTTCGGTCCATTTCCCAATGAAGGTGGCAAAATTCATCTCCGAAGCTGCCAGGTGACAAAGTGCACGCGCAGGATCAGCCAACAGCTCCACCGAGCTCCTCACATCGTTCTTTAGTCAGACACTACCCTCTTTCCTCTTCAGGAACAATATAGTACCATAGTTACTGTCATAGTTTGGCCAATAATTTAGTGGATGGGAGGGAAAACTTCGCGCAAGAGACAGCTAGAGGCCCGCAATCGGCTTGGCAGCCGACGCCAACGAGCAGACGGGGTCGAAGCCAACCGGCTCAAGAAAACACTTAGGCTTGCCAGCAGAACGCAAACCCTCGACACTAGGCATTCGGCACTCTTCAGGCTTGGCAGGGCCTGATGGCAACGCCCACGGCGAAGCCACCCAGACAGACGATGGCCAAAGGAATGAGAGTCAACACCGACCTCGGCTTTGGGCTTTTGGACTCGGGCCATCAGCCTGCCTCCCTGCGTGCGTCTAGCAAACATTCCCCGCATCCGCGACATCAATTTGCCTGATTTTGGTCCAAGGCACGTGTTGCACTCAGTTCCAGCCACCACGGTCCATTGGGAGGTGGTCACACTCTCGTTTGCACCTGGCCGTAGCTCATGACAACCACAGCAGGCATCACCAAGCCAATGCATCTTACAGCACCACATCTGTCCCAAGCAAACGGCAGGCCGACACGCCCCACATCGCGCAGCTCTGTGACGAGTGCCGAACATGGAGAGACTTCCCCCCAGTTGTCGCCGCTTGCCTGTGTTATTTGTCTCCATCGTCTGCGTTGTGGATACTGTTGTCGTTCTGCTCGCAGTGGTCTGGCAAAGGGAAGCACCATTCGACACTGGACCCTCCCACGCGGTTCACATCTGAGTTTAGAATGAGCATGCAGCAGGCTTGAAACTGGCTGTCAACAGTCATGGCAGCTTCCATCACGAGTGCGTCTCTACCTTCGATTGACTGATGCCAGCTGAACACGTGCTGCGACTTGGCAGTGCTATGGGCCCGACCGCAGACAGCGTCGTTGTGGCACCTTGCAGTATCCCATGGCTCCAAGAAACCCCACAGCCGCACAGCTCAGGATCCGCTTGCTTGATCATTGATAATCAATGCCAGGGGACGCAGTGTCAGGGGTGCCAGGGTGACTTCACTGCCCTCAGGCGCAAGGACCACTCGCGCGCTGGACACCTCGTGGCAAAAGGCAAATCTGAGACTGGGGTGCGAGACCTGATGCTGTAAGTTGCGGGCTTGCTTTGACAGGGGCAATACCAAGTT